TCGTCCCCTCCCCCCCCCTCCCCCTCCCCCTCCCCTCCTCCTCCTCCTCCTCCTCCTCCTCCTCCTCCTCCTCCTCCTCCTCCTCCTCCTCCTCCTCCGCGCGCTCGCCCCATCGGACAGTCTCGATCCCTACACGCTAGGGGGACTATTGGGGCTCACGAGCTCCCTCGGGGCCATTCCTTGAGGCCTGGGGGGAACTGCTCCTTGGTGAGCTTCAAAATGGCCTTGTGCCCCCCACCCTGACTATTACGGGGTGGGGTGCACTGCTCCTTGAATTTCCTGGAGGCCCGAACCTTCCAGCACCCACACCTCCGACACCAGAGGACCCCACGGCACACGGCGAGGTGGGGTCGGTGGCTAGGATGGACGGGGGGCGGGCCTCCAGCGGCGGGGAGGGCGGCTCTGGCGGGCTCCTTCGCTCCCGCCGCGGGCCTGGCGGCGGGGCACGGGAGCCTGAGCCAGCGGGCGCAGCACCTCCTGTGGGTCTGCCTGCCACACCTGGAGCATGAAACTTGGTCGCCACGGACCTGGGGCCAGTGGGCTGTCACCTCTAGCAGGTGCTGGAAGGCATTGTCACTCCGCTCCTTGCGCTGAGCCCTCTTAGTCTCGGCGGGAGCTTCCTCCACAGGGTAGTGGGTCCACCACATCATCTGGACGGCCGCCAATCGCCCTCGGACCTGTTCTGCGAGTGTGTCTAAAGCCAGCACTCTGTCGACCAGGTCCTGGGGCACGGCGGCAGAGGCGGCAGCCTGTCCAGCGAATTCGTCGGCCTGTTCATTCACATACAGGGCCCAAACTGGAAAACGGGCGCGGACCTCAGGGTCCGTGGCATGACTCTTCACTTTCAGAAACTGAACCTGGCCCGTGCGAGCTCCTAGGATCCTCCAAAGCTCGGCCCAAAGCCTACGATTGGAACGTGCTTGCCTACGGGGGTCCCTGTGGTACCCACTGATGAGGTACGCCGAGTCGGTGACCACTATAAGGTCCCCCTGGGTATGCTTGAGGAGCTCAGCGGCCCCTTTGAGCTCCGCCCTATTGATGGTCTGGAGCCCTATGACATTCCCTTGGAGAGTGCCAAGGAGGTTTAAATCTTCATCCCAGACCCCTGCACCCCATCCTACACGCCTAAGGCGGGGATCAGACGAGAAAGCACCCCCCGAACCGTCCACCGCACCGAGGCGCCAACCGCCCCTCGGCTCGGGAGGGTCCAGGAAAGCGCCAGTCCCTACTAGGACGGGGTGCTGAGGTGTGGTGTCCTCTACAGCCTTCAGAGCGAGACCTGCTGGAATGAGCCCTCGGAGCCACAGACATGCTGGCTGGTCGTCCCCTTGAGCGGTGTCCACTAGGTCCTCTGTTGCCTGAATGAGGGGGTGGTCGGCCTGGAACAGGAGCGGACACCCCCAGAACTTGTGATAGTCATCGCAGTGATGGTCTCCACACAGCGGGCACACCGAGTCATCTGCTAGGCCTGCCTCGAAACGTCTCCTGGGGCTCCAGGCTGAACAGGCGCCGACTGCCTTGAGCGCCTTCGCGAGGTTCTTCTGCCCGTCGCGATACATCCGCTCGATCTGCCACCGTGAGCTCTTGATATCGACTCCATCCTGCACCCCTCCTGCTGCGTGTCCCCCTTGGGCCCCACTCCAGACTCGATGGTGGAGAAACTGCTGGAATCTGCACATGAAATAGTCTTGCTCCTGGAGATTCCCAGGTCGGACTCGTAAAACCTGGCCGGATGGGCTTGTCCAAGCCCAAGCTGAGTTGGGCTGCCACCCCAGGTCGAGTAGGGTGGCCACCACCGCGCTGAGATGGCTGACAACATTGTTCCACCGCCTGGGCCGCTGGAGCTTGGTGACCACCTTGGGCCAGGCGAGCTCAATCCCATTCCTGAGGTGCGGCTGGCTCTCCACCAGCTCGAACCACATCTCGAGAAGATTGATGCGATGAAAGATGGCGGGGTCCAGGGCCTCTGGCGGCAACTTCGACTGGTGGAGCCCTGCGGTGAGACAGCTTCCTGGTTTGCTGGTCCCCAGGGCCGCCCCTGCTGCTCTCCTGTGCTGGCTGAGCTCTGTCGGGGAGACCCCGTGGCCCTCGAGTCCCCAATGGAGCTGTGGCTGAGCCCCTGCACGGCATAGACGATGTGCACTCTTGGTCACCCTCAGGAGCCTCTTAATGTTCTTGTGCCTCTTGAACCCAAGACGCTGCCGAGCCCTGCGAACCTTTAGGTACCTGCGCTTGCCTACCGTGGAGTCCAACCCGAGGTCCCTGGTGCCCAGCTTGGTCTGTAGGGGGATCCCGTGGAGCTGGCAGGAGTCCTGAACCTGGTTCCTGATGCCATTGTCATTCGACAGGAGCGCCGACTTCGGAGATAACCTGCACCCAAGATCTACGAGCCCTGCTTTGATAAACTTCATAGCCTCGGGGAAGGACTGGAGCAGGGATGTGGTCGAGCCGACCATGCGGGCCCGCAGGTCGTCCACCCAGGTCCTGAGGGTGAGACGGCTGAACCTGAGATGCGCCTGATGGAGGAGGTCGTGCAACAGAACTCGCGTCCAAGCCACGCTTTGGCCGCATCCTGCTAGAATACTGCGCTGGGGAATGATCGGCTGGCTGACCCCCATCTCCGCGGTGAGATACCGAACGGCTAGGTGGGTCATGATCCCCAAACTTAGACAGATACTTGGGTACCCCATCTCTTTGGCTTTCGCCGCTAGCACGTGGGTGAGGATGGTGTCATAGAATTTCTCTAAATCCAAGAGCCCTTCGACAACCTTGATCTGAAGTTCTGTCCCCACCTCCGCAAAAAGTTCTGAAACGATGCCTGCGCGCAGACAGCTGGATCCTTTGATTGCTGCGTCCCAGTGTCCTGCCTTGGCCGCCTCCCACTTGCCGATCTCCCCCCCTCCTCATCCTCATGAGCAGCCTGTAGAGCGAGGTAGTGAGCGTGATCGGCCTATCCGCCGTCACGGTCTTCGGCTTGAGTGCTACGAGGTTCCCTAAGCACTGGGCGGGCATCGACTGCTTCTCTTCGATGGTGTTTAGCATGCTCGTGAGCTCGACGTGCCCTGGGCCTGGGAGTCGAGCGAAGTCTCGTACACGCCACTGGTCCATGCCTGTGGCTGAGTGTCCTGGGAACGATCCGATGGCCTTCAGAACCTCCTCCTCCGTCCATGGGGGCCTCCAGAGCCTTGTCCTCCATCGCCTCCTCCCGTATCTCCTGGATCCACGGGGCCGAGATGGGGCTCTTGGTCTGGATCTTCTGTGGATTCCAGTACTGCTGCCAGAAATTGCTTTTTGCCTCGAGGATGTCGCTGGGGTCCATGAGGACCTCTTCTTCCAGGACCAGGTTGTCTGCCTCTTCGGGGTTGACCTCTACTCCCATCTCTCTGCTGAAGGCGTGGGCGGCTCCACCCCCTCGCTTGATGCTGGTCTCCAACCAGTCCGCAAAACCGTCCTGGGCCTGCTTCAGCGCGCGGGTCTCGTAAAACTGCACTTGCTGCTCTAGCAGGTCGTGCAAAGGGAAAGGCTCGCTGGACCTCTCCTTCAGGCTGTGCCAGAGCGCCCGCTGCTGGTCATCCGCGAGGTTAGAGCCCCAATTTAGGTTGACGACGGTAGCCTCGATAAGCCTCTGGAGCTCGCGATGGCTGGGGCCTGTGGGGCCACGCTTCCTGGCAAGATCCCGTTCCCGAACTCTCTGCTGGATGGTACTCCACCTTCTACTTTCTGGCCCCCCGCCCCCCCCCTTGGTTCTGGAGGGTTGGGCTTGAAGGCCGCCCGCTTCTCCAGGCGAAAGGGCTGGGCCCGCGTTGGCCCTCCGAGTTCAGGAACTGAGCACCACCGCTCCAGGGCCTGCGAGAGGACGGCAAACCTATGAGTGAGGGTCTCGTCGACATGCTCTGGTGCGACAGGATGAAGGACCTCTGGAGCCTTGGGGAACTTCTGGAGTGCCAAGACCTGGAGCTCGTCCCACGGCCGCGGGGCCGCGCCTGGGACGTTGACATCTGGGGCCTCCTCGGGGTACGTGCTGTGCTTGCTGAGAACTTCTACTTGCAGTTCTCCTCGTAACCCAAGATGTGGCCTCCATGGACTTGTGCGATCTGGGGTGGCCTGCAGGAGCCTACCTAGCTTCTCAGACACCACGTAAAAGTCAATCACCCGCCCGTTGCAGGTGGAGTCTACCCTCGGCTCGATGAGGACCCCACCTATGGTCTTCACCCAGAGGCCCCCCTCCACGAGCTCCTTCCCTGTCATGTTCCAGTCCCCCCCGATGATAAAGGGCAACTTGTGGGCTCTGAGGAAGGTGGCGATCTGGCTGGTCACTTGCGTATTGTACTCGTTATATCCTGCATCACTTTGAAGATATGTTGAAACCAAAATCAGGCTATGTCCTCGGAGACGGAGGTGGCAGGCTGTCCACCCTTGTCCTCCGTAGAGGGGCTGGTCACGTCCTTTTGCCCCCATGATGCGGGCGTGGGAGCAGAGGCTGTGCAAGACGAAAAGGCCGACCCCTCCATGTGAACCCGTCGCTGAGGTCCTGACAGCTGGGCAGACGTAGGACCTGTACCCATGCTTCTTCATGAATTTATGCACGTCACGCACTTTGTCTCGTTGAACGTGCATCTCACTAAACATCTTGGGTCAAAAAGCGGTGCTGCCGTTCCGCGCGCGCTGCCCTGCAGCGCTCGCGTTCGGCGGATCATTTTGCACCGGGGTCGAGGGCGCTCCCGCGCCTCTCAGCAGCTTCTTGGAGCCCGCGGGGGATGGCGCCATCGCGGAGGGGTTCGCTCCGGCGCCCTGCTGCTGCCGGACCCCCGCCCCCAGCGCTCCCGGTGAGGGCGCGCCCTGCTGGCGCCGCGCCGCTCGCAGCGCGAGGCAGGGACGCCTCGGGCGGAGGCGCTCAGCCCGATCGTCGCGCCCACCCTGCTGACGAGGAGCCGCGAGTTTCGCGAGGCAGGGACGGCGCCTCAGGAGGCGATCGCGGGCATCGTTCGGGCCGTGGGGCCATGATCCACGAGGGAGGTCTTGGGAGTGCCCTTCCCGCGGAAGGTGACCTCATCGAGATCTTCACGATCAACGGCCACGCGCGCTTCCGCATCGACCACCAGGAGGTCTACGACCTCAAGCACGGCTCCATGTACTCGGCCACGTACTTGGAGAGCGACAACCCCACAGATGAGGTCGACCTCTACCCGATGTTTTCGGCCGCGCGGCCTCCATGGCTGCATTTTTGCACCGTCAGGGCCGACGAGTGCACCGCGAGCGAGCACGACCAGCAGCTGTTCCACGTCGGCAAGTGGCGGTTCATCCTCGAGAGCGAGTTGGAGGTAGCGCTGGACTCAGCTGCCGGCGCTGCTGCTGCCGGAGCGGGTGGCCCCACGGCGCCGCCTGCAGCCAAGGGCGCTGGAGGGGGCGTCAGCATCGTGCAGGCCGTGCCCAACGGTAAGGACGACTTGCGCGACAAGTTGGTGGCCCTGCGTGCGCGGGTACAGGGACCGCCGCTGCCGCCGCCAGCTTTCCCCCCGCCCGGCGAGCTGGCTTCCGCTGGCCAGGGCAGGCGCGCGGGGTCCCGGGGCTACGGCGGCAGCGAGGAGCCTCCGCGGAAGCATCCCCGCGTCGAGGGCGCCGCTGTTTTGGGCAAAGGCGAGGCCGGCGCCAGCCGCGGCCCTCGCGACAGGAGCCTCGGGGCCTCCAAAAGGCATGGCCTTGCGGAGGCCATCGCGGCAAAGGGCATCCAGGCGGCGAGTGGCAGGCGCGACTCCCCCCATCGCTCCCGGGAGCGCGCCGCGCGTGGCGAGCGCGGCCGGTCGCGCAGCCGGCGCGGCTCGCGCCATCGCCGCCGCTCTCGTTACCGGAGCCCTTCTCGGAGCTCATCGGGCTCTCGGAGCCGGGATTTTCCCGAGGGGCGTCGTTCCAAACGCGAGCAGGTCCGTGCGACCATGGAACGGCGCCCCGGGCGCATCACGGAGAGGCTGCTCGCGAAGATGCGGGCTTACCTGCCGCGGGAGTCCCGGCCCGGGTCCGCCACCGAGCCAGTGGCCATGAGGTACCTCACCACGCAGCTCATCCCCCGTCTCGGCTCGGAGCTGAACAAGCGCAACGAGGCCGAGCTCCGCACTCTGGCCACCTGCCTGGACTGCCTTTTGGATGGCAATTTCGTGGGCTGCACCGACCTCTTGGCGCAGCAGTTCAAGGCCGTGGAGATGGCTCAGAGGGAGGGCTGGGCGGCTGCCCAGCACCTCAATCCCCTGCACGACACGCTCGTGTCGGCCATGGAGGAGGACGAGCGGGAGGAGCTGTACCGTGCCGAGCAGCAGGAGATGAAGCGGGAGGAGCTCAATAACAGGATCTCGACTGGCCGCGCTCAGTCCCGGGGCGCCGTGCGCTAGGGACTCGGCGGGGGCGGGCTTCTGGACCGAAAGCCCGCCCTGAGGCCATCCCCATCGGCGGAGGTTTCGCCTCCTCGGAAGGTCCAGCAGGCGGTCGCCCATCAGCCTCCCGGCACTCCTTTGGAGCCGGGTCTGGAAAGTATGGCGCCGTGTCGGAGCTCCGCCAACACGAGGGTGCGACACTCAGAGGAGGTCACCCGAGGCCTCTTCGACCCCGCGGCACCCGCGAGCGTCTACCCGAGGAGCCCTCCGCGCGCCGGCAGCGGCGGAGGAGTCAGCAGTGGCTCGGACGAGAGGGGCCCAGAGACCGGCCCTCGCGCCCGTGGCTCGCCGGCCCAGGCCGCGGGCAAGGGCCGCGGCAAGAAGGGCAAGGATTCCCCAAGCAAAGGTGCACGCCCTCGAGCCCGGGATCCGCGCTCAGCCCGCATGTGGTTTCTGAAGCGCCGGGGCAAGGGCAAGGGATCCAGCAAGGGTCAAGGCAGACGGGGCCCAGGCGAGGGGCCTGCCCGCCGCCCTCTCTGAGCCTGCCCCGCTCGGGGGCAGAGACCGGCCTCTCGGAGGGGCTGGTTGGGGGCGTCGGCATCGGCGTGCTCGGCGAGCTGCTGTTGGGGTTCGCCCGGCAGGGATCTGCTTGCAAGTCACGCGCCGGCGCGCCATCTTCGTGGGGGGAGTCCTGCTCGCCGTCGTCCTCGCGCGAGCTGCTCCCTTTTGCCACGTCGCTGGGCTTGGCTCCGTACCGTCAGCACGCCGAGTACGCCCGCCTCCTCGCCGGGGGTGACAAGACTGGCAGGTGCGCCTTGCCGAGGCCCGCGCTCGGTCTTGACGAGTGGTTGCTCTTAGTGTTGCTTGGGCTGAATGCGCTCTGGGACGGTTCGCGGGCCCTCGGCCAGCAGCCATGCGCGATGCCAGTAAACGGGCCTTCGGTAGCTCAGGTGGCGTGTTTCTGGCACTTGGAGCGCAAGGTCCATAGCTTCGTGACCACGCCCGGAATGGGCGTCGCCGCCGAGGCGCCCGTTGAGCTTTTCGCCAAGAGGGAGGTCAGCTACGGCGGGGACGTCGTCCAGAGGGCCGTGGAGTTGACCTGGGAGCAGATCGAGCCGGCGCTCCCTCCCGCCGACCGCTGCGGAAGGCTGCGGGCCGTCGATTTTTGTAAGCCGCGCGTCAGGCGCTACCTCGAGGAGCCGATCGAGATGTTGGTGCCGCTGGACTGCTTTCCGGCGCGGCCGAAGCCTGGGAAGGTCATGGCTTCTTCAACCGAGATCGTTCGCATCGGCCGCGGACTTCTCGAGAGGGGCTTGGTGGCGCCACTGCGGCGCAGCGACCTGCTGCACATCCACGGGGAGCCCGTCGTCAACGGTTTGTTTGGCGCGCTCAAGGACGACCTCGTCCCCAGCGGGCCTTCGGCTGGGCAGCCGCAGCTCAGGTTGATCATGAACCTGACCGCATCCAACCAGCTCATGGGCGAGCTGCCCCTCGACATCGCGAAGCTGCCATTTTACGCACAATGGCGCAACATCATAATCGATGTGGGAGAAGAGCTTGTATGGGCCCACGACGACATGAAAGGGGCATTTTACCTCTTTTCATTGCCGCCCCAGTGGGCAGCGCTCTTCTGCTTCGATGTCGCTTTCGACCCCCTCGAGTTGGGCATCCGCGATTGGGGGGATGAGCCCATCTGGCTGGGTGCGACCACGGTCCCCATGGGCTGGTGCAACGCCATGGGCCTCTTCCAGTACTTGCACCGCCGGCTTTTGATATCTGGAGGCGTGCACCCGCGCGGACTACCCTTGCGGCGCGAAATCCGGAAGGACAGGCCCTTTCCAGTGGCCCGCTCCGGCGACGACGAGTTTGACCAGCTCTGGCAGATCTACTGCGACGACGCCGACTACGGCAAGCTGATCAGCAAGCAGGAGCGTTGGCACCAGCACTTATCCCAGGCTGCCTGCTTTTCAGAGGCCGCCCGCGCACGTTACGATGAATGGGCGGTGCCGATCAGTGCCAAGAGCGGCACTAACTGTAGTTCAGTGTCCAGGCTTGGGGCGTTGCTGGATGGAGCCGACGGGCGCCTTCGGCTCACGCCGAAGAGGGTCGGGTTACTTACCCGCCTGTCGTGCCACTGCATCGCGTCGCCCGCGGTGCGGCGCAAGCACTTGGAGATCGTCATCGGCCACTGGGTGCACGCCGCGTCCTACCGGAAGGAGTGCATGAGCTGTTTCCAGGAGGTTTGGCACGTACTATCCCACTGGAGCGGAGGTCCTCGCGCGCTGCCGGAGGGGGCCCGCCGGGAGCTTCTCCTGGCCCTCGCGTTGCTCCCATGCTTCGAGTACGACCTCCGCAGCCCCATCTCGCGCGTCATGACGGCCTCGGACGCCAGCGAGAACGGCGGCGGCGTCACGTACACGTCCAGGCACACCGCCGAGGGTCGCACCGCCGCTCTGTGTGAGCTGGCAGGCGGCTGCGCTCATGGTCGCGACCTCCTCGTGCTCCTCGAGGTCGGCGGTTGTGGGCGTGGGCGCATGGCATTCGACAGCGTCGGGCTCGAGCTCTCGCTGCACGGGCTGCTGTCGGTCACGCCGGACGCTGCCCGGACGGTGCGGGCCCGCTGGCCCGAGGCCGAGGTTTTGGGCGACCTGCGAGCATTCGATGCGATCGCTGCTCGCCGCTTGCTGGGCCGCGCCGCTCACGCCACCGACCTCGTCTTTATGTGCCACATCGGGTCCGCGTTGGAGCTCGATGCCGACCTGCCCCTTATTTGCTCCGCGCAGCGTGTCTTGCAGCGCGAGGGGGCCGGGTTGAGGGTCTGGCCGGTGTGCCTCGCCGCGCCCTCGACCTCGCGCGAGCAGCTGGAGTCTGTCACGCGCGCCTTCCGCTCCATCCCGCTCTTCATGGACGTGTCGACGGTGTCCGAGAGCACAGGTTGCGAATATTGTTGGTTGAGCTGGCCGCTGGAGGGTGGCAGTCACCTTCGGATGTCACGCCAGCCGGACCGCATCTTCCTGAGCTGGTCCGAGTCCACCCCAGCCGCCCCCCCGGCGGCGGCAGGCGCTGGCTTGCGGAGCACAGGGGCCAGGCGCGGCGCACGCAGCTGCCCGCTCGGAAAGGAGTGCCCTGCCGGGGCCGCGCAGAGAGGGTGTCTGCAGTGCATCGCGCTGCGGCTGGGCTTTCCGCACGACTTCTTCCTCCAAGCCCGGAGTCGCAAGTCGGGCTGCACGTCGGAGGCCCTCGACCAGGCTCGCCACGCCGTGGCAGCGCAGTGTGGGCCCGTGGCCCCCCTTGCGTACCTGGTTGGGCTGTGGGGGCAGATAAATTCGCGCTTCGTTCACATCTTGGACTCGCAAGTGTGCATCGGAGTGCTGTGCAAAGGGAGGTCTTCTGTCTGGGGCCTCCAAAAGATTCTCGCCCGCATCGTCTCGTTGCTGCTCGCTGGTAGTCTCCACCCGCACTGGGTCTATGTGAGGTCGGCGGACAACCCCGCCGACGCGCCATCGCGATGGCAAAGCATTTGGAGGCCGCCACGGCCAAGCAGCGACAGCAGAGACGACGAGCAGCGGGCACTTTACGAGAATTACAGATCCAACCGCGCACCCTCAAGCGGTACAAGCACGCGGTCAATGCCTTTTTCGACTGGCTCGGACGGGAGCGACCTGATATTTTGTCTACCCGACACATTGCACGCCCGCTCAGTGCGGATGCCGTCGACGAGGCGGTTGCTGACTATTTGGAGGCGCTGTGGGACGACGGATCGCCCCGCAGTTTGGCCGCCGACACCCTCTCGGGGCTTCAGCATCTGGTGCCGAGCCTTCGGCGCGAGCTCAAGGAGGGCTGGCGCCTGCTCCGCACGTGGGATCAGAATGAGATGCCCAGCCGCGCCCCGCCGTTACGACCGGAGGTGGCGATTGCCTTGGCGGGCTTTGCGCTCGCCGACGGCCGCGAGGATGTTGCCACTGCAATCCTGGCGGGCTTCAACGGCTTGTTGCGCCCCTCCGAGATGCTCATCTCTGCGGGGGACTGCGTCTTCGACCACAGCCAGCGCACGTGCGTGGTCAACCTTGGGCTTACTAAAGGCGGGAAAAGGCAGGGGTGCCCTGAGGACGTCATCATCGATGACGAGTTCGCCTACTTACTGCTCCGCCGGGCGCTTGCAGGGTGCGCAGCTGGCACTGCCCTCCTACCGAGGGGTCTTGCCAATTTTCGCGCATCTTTCGCCAGCTACCTTGGCAAGGCGGGCCTCGACCCCAGCAGAATAAAGCCCTATAGCATCCGCCGTGGCGGCGCCACCCACCATTTCTCTTCGCTCGGCAACATGGCGCTGACCTGCGAGCGAGGCCGCTGGCGCTCCAGAGCGACAGCCAAGATTTATATCACAGAGGGGGTGGCTGCCCTAGAGGCCGTCGCGGTCACCAAGCAGCAGCGGGCAGCTTTGGCCTTGGGGCATCAGTTGTTCCACAGGCACATTGAGCGCATCATGGACGGTGGCAAGTAAGTTCAGTCACGCCTTCGGCAGAGTTTTTGGCTTTCTGGGGAACGACTTCGCCAGACATGGGTTGCGTGAACATGCACGGCGCCGACAGCCTGCCCTTTGACAACATCCCGCCCCTAGTGGCGGAGGCCGGCCATGCGTGGCGGCTGCAGGGAGCCCGCCCCTAGCGGCGGAGGCCGGCCACGCGTGGCGGCTGCAGGGAGCCCGCCCCTAGTGGCGGAGGCCGGCCAAGATTGGCGGCTGCTGCTGACCCGCGCTCCGGGCCGAGGGGCTCGAGGGCCGTTGGCCTGGGTCGCCGAGCCGAGGGGGCTCGAGGGCCGAGGCCTGCTTGCGGCATCTCCGGGCCTAGGGCTCGAAGGCCGCTGGCCTGCGCTGTCAGCAGCACGGTGCCGCGCGCGACGTCGCACACAGCGGTGCGGCGCGCCAGCGCTCGGATGAAAAGATCCGCGCGCGCTCGCTGTGCTGGAGTATCGCCCTCGACATGTAGCGCGCGAGCAGCATCAGGATCGTTCGTTCCATAGCTATCTTGGGTCCCGCCCTCACCTCCCTCAACATGCAGGTCCTTTCCTACAGCGTGCACGGCACCGACAGCCTGCCCTTTGACAACATCCCGCCCCTAGTGGCGGAGGCCGGCCATGCGTGGCGGCTGCAGGGAGCCCGCCCCTAGCGGCGGAGGCCGGCCACGCGTGGCGGCTGCAGGGAGCCCGCCCCTAGTGGCGGAGGCCGGCCAAGATTGGCGGCTGCTGCTGACCCGCGCTCCGGGCCGAGGGGCTCGAGGGCCGTTGGCCTGGGTCGCCGAGCCGAGGGGGCTCGAGGGCCGAGGCCTGCTTGCGGCATCTCCGGGCCTAGGGCTCGAAGGCCGCTGGCCTGCGCTGTCGGCAGCACGGTGCCGCGCGCGACGTCGCACACAGCGGTGCGGCGCGCCAGCGCTCGGATGAAAAGATCCGCGCGCGCTCGCTGTGCTAAACATAATGACATGTGGCCGCGCAAAATCGCTGGACTGAACGTAGTCCCTGGCCTTCTTGTGCCAGCTAGTGATGTTGGCAAGATACAGCATGAGAGGCTCCCCTCCTTGTTCTCCCCTCCCATCCTGGTCATCCTGGTGTCCTGCATCTCCCATGGCACTGACACTGACAACGGACGGGTCAAAATTGACAAGGTCACTCTCACTGCTGTCGCTGAGGCTAATGATGTCATCCGACTGGCTGATGACGAGACTAGTGAAACTCCCTATCGACTGGTCGTTGGTGAAAATATGCTGTGTCCCATCTGCGGGGGGGCTGCTGGGCGCGTCCGTGCGCCCTGCTGGTGGCTCGGGGAGACGGTCAGTCCCTCTGGCTCCCGCCTGCAGCCCCCCCACGGCCCCTGGGCTCACTGCGGCTGCGGTGGGGAACGGGCGACTTGTCGGTCTTGCGACCACGCCTGCTCTCGTCATCCGCTCCTCCTGCTGCGTTGGCTGCTGTCCCGCCAGCGGCGCCCTGGCGCTTGGGCGGTGGCCGCTTCGGCGGTGGAGCCTTCCCCGCCTTGGTCGCCGCCTCGAGCTGCTGCACGAAGGCCTGGGCCTGCTCGGCGTCCTCCCCCTGCAGGCCGCTGACGGCGGCACGCAGCCCTGGCGGCAGCTCGGGGACGCTGGCCTT